GACCCTGCTTATCACTATCTACAGAAATTATATTTTATTTAAGCAGGTATTTATTATTGCACAGGTTCGGCACCTGTCAGGTGCGCAGAGTGGAATCGCTCTGTGTAAAAAAACCGATGTTGGAGGTACTTTTTCTTTTTCCAACTTTGGCTAAAATAAATGGACATTCAAACTAAGCAATACATTATTCTGATTACTACGTTCTCATGTGCCTGGAGGCTCTGTATAATTCCAGCTGTTCTTTGCCTACTTTCAACAATTTGATCATCTTGGACTGAAAGCCGTCGGCAATAGGAACATTGACCGCATCCAATCCTGGAAAGTGATGCCAAGATTCATTGAGAGCATGGTTAGCCATCTTGGCCGAGTCACTGGAATGGAGAAGACTGGTACGGTACTGATTCCCGAATTGTGGATAATTTCATATTCGCGGCGACTCGCTCTGACTCGGCTGATTCAAATCCACAATGCACGGAATCAGCCAAATTATCCGAGTCTTGTCTCAACTCTAACCTCAAAATATCCCCGAACCATATTTGAGAGTGCCCCTAACCTCAAAAAGCTTGTCTTAACTCTAGTGAATTATGCTGATGAATAGTTTTATCGTTAGAATTCCTTAAATTATATCTGTCAGCTTAATTTTCCTTCGACGAAAGCTGTGTTGGCATGACGTCCTTCAACAACAGCTGTGTTGTCTAGGAAACATAACTCGTAGAATTTCTACTAGAAGGAATATGAATGTAAGCTTGTTGAGTATCTTCTGCAGACTAGAGGAGCATTAAAGAAGATGAAGCTTTGACAAAGCCTTCAACTTGCAAAGAGAATAATGTCATATAAAAGAACCCACAAGAAATACACCCAAGTGATCATGAATGACAATATCCAAACCTGCAGCATTCAACTCTTTGAAAACTGCTTCATAAAAAAATTAAGGGTTAATATCAGAAACCTCCCTTGAGGTTTCTTCTAATCACATATAGCACCCCCCATGTTTTTGAAATCACACTTAGCACCCCTGGAATGACAACTTTGGTATCTTGTCAGCCCCTCTATTTGAAAATGGTAGTAAAAAATGAATTGTAGGAGAGAGACTTTATTTTTGTTCCACTTTTACCCAAAGCCCAAAATGATTAGTAAATTTTAGAAGATAAAAATAGAAATAAATAGGCATATGATATTAATTTAGAAGCTGAGGGTGTAAAAGTGTAATAAAAAGAATGTTATAACTAATTATCAGAGATTTTGGCAATATAGAGATGCATAACTAATTATGGACCTGGGGCCGGAACGTTTGCACTCCGGAAGCTTGTGTGCATTTTGCACACGGTGTAACATCATTTGTACAAGTTGTAACACTAGAACAACAGCGAGTAATTATACTACCTTTAACATTAGTAACCGTCCCACACGGTGTAACATCATTTGTACACGTTGTAACACTAAAACAACAACGAGTAATTATACTACCTTTAACAGTAGTAACCGTCCCACACGGTGTAACATCATTTGTACACGTTGTAACACTAGAACAATAGCGAGTAATTATACTACCTTTAACGGCAGTAACCATCCCTGCCCCTTCTCCACTAATTACATAGTCCATGATACTACATTGGATTAGTCTAGTAACATGATACATAAGCCTTATATTGCAATCCAATTCTGAACAAAAACACCATCTACAACTAGTTGTTTAGATGGTGAGGATTGCAATGCACAAAACTATACACAAGTAGTTCTAAGATTAGTCAAACAGCACCATAAGTGGCAGGAAATATAAATCAGATGCACATTGCACCACTTATCAAAAAATTGTCCACAAAAGCTAACATTGCTTCAGTATTGCTGGGAGCTAAGAAGACTAGTACCTAAACTACTTTAGATACCAAAAGCAAGGATTGCGGGGAACCTTTAGCACTCTCAAAACATCATAGAGAAACTGCTAGTAATAGTGTTAGAGGCCACTATTGCAGCAGTATTAATGCTAACAGAAGTTTCAGCTTGAGATCCACCATTTAGAGTAGCTTGAGCATTTGGTACAAAGGGAATTATGCCTTGCTTGTTTACAGCAGCATTGGTTTTCATTGAAGGCCTTCCTCTCTGCATCAGAAAAGAACAAATTTAAACTTTTTTGCAGCAAAACTTTAAATTACTCCAGTAGTGCACTAGTTCTGAATTTTGCAGCAGCAATGTATGACATTATAATGCTTACCCTCTTAGTAGAAGTGCTTGTGCTAGCCTGCAAATTAACTTGCACATTGACAGCTGCATCTTGTTGGCGAAAACTTGGATTACTCCCCTGACTTGAAACAACCACTGGCACATTTCCTTGTACATGATCCTAGGTCACAGAAGACATGATAAACAAGTTAATAATATGTGCAACATATATACTTTGGTACATGATCAGATGATCAGATTGAACTTAGTTACCCAAAGCACAGCCCCTGCCAATCCCGTGTTAGCTATGCCTCTACCAGGCTTTCCTCTCCTTAGAGCACCCTGCAATGTAACAACTTCAAAATTGAGCATATAATTATCTAGCTCCCACAAGTTAGCTAATATTTTGTGATTATCAGGACAAATTTGGTCCCTTTTACATGTATACATAGTCAAGTAACTAACACCTAACGTGATGTATATTTTTGTAAACTGACTGTACCTCATAAATCACCCTGTGTAAAGTACTCACAGAAAGATTAATACAGCACACACAGAAAAAGGCATGTTCATGTATACATCAGAGCATTTCTACCCTTAAATGCACTATTATTGAGCAATACACAAGAAAGTTTTCAACATTTCTAGTGCAATATCAAACAACCACTCAACATAGCTATTGATCACCATGATCATGCCATTGGCTGAAGCTATTTTCTAAGTTTCATAAATACTCTATTGAAACAACCATCAGATATGCTACGGAACATAGTATCAGATCTCAATTTTGTCAATATCCATAACATAAACTTGCTAGCTTGTTCATAACATTAGTCAAAATCAACGAATATCACATGGTCACAACAAAAGCTGCTCTCTGTGATAAAAAAACAATCACTCATGGCTTCATTTTGACAAGATCAAAAACATCAAGAGTACTATTTTCAAATTTAATATGCAAGGACAGCCTGTGAAGCTTACCTGTTTTGTTGAATCCAAAATTGAAGGTTAAGCTGAAAATCCACGACTTCAAATGCACTCGAACTTTTCCTTCCACCCAAAAACGACGCTTTCAACTACATAGGTTCTATATTCCTTCATCACTGCACTAATTTGCAACTAATCATCAGCAATCTCTTCCTAATTCTACCAGCACATAAGCAATTTTGAGTTTAAAAAAAAAAAAAAGTACAACTTACCTTTCAAGTTGTCTTACTTGTGAAAGCTTTTATGGTTATCATGGTTATATATGCAGAAAATGGCGCTCAAATTGTGCGCCAAAACAATGGCATTTTTGTTATTTTCTGGTTTCCAATAATTTTTCTTTTTCATTATTTTTTTCCAGCATTTCCCCGCTTAAAAATTTGCCTGGTGTTGGTGGTTTTTGGGTAATTTCTCACCTTTTGATCAGGACAACCTGTCACATCCTACTGCCAGGGGTGCTAAGTGTGATTTCAAAAACATGGGGGGTACTAGATGTGATTAGAAGAAACCTCAAGGGAGGTTTCTGATATTAACCCAAAAATTAACTTTGATGAAGCCCTATGAAGGAGGTTGCCAATGTGCTAGAAAACTACGAGTATGGGATTCTTGAGTTAACCTAATCAATCATAGCTAAAAGGAAACACCGTTTCTCCTCCTCTCATCCAAAAATACATCTCCTACCAAGTTAAATTTCAATAACTTACAATAACTTCTATTATTTCAATAACTTCTACTATTTTAATTTTCAATATATATATTTTTTATTTTTTAAAATTAGACTTGTAATTATCACTACTTTTCAAATATATATGGTGAAGAAGACAAAGGTTTCAAGCTGGTTAAGTATTTTCTGGAAAATGCAATGGTTTTGAAGGAGGTGAGAATTTTCTTGTAACTAAATTAAAGAATCACCAAAAAAAAAAAAAACAGAATCCAGTAGTGGAACGATGATCAGGGACGCGGGGCTGGAGCGGTTGTCAGAACAACCGCTCCGGAAGTTGTAACACCATTTGTACATGGTGTAACATCATCTGTACAATGTGTAACAATTGAACAACAGCGAGTAAAATAAAACACCATTTTTGTGGGTCCCACACGGCGTGAAAATCGAGTTACAAGACGTGATCTGAACCGCACAAAATTTTTTAGCTTCATCCAGGCCGTCAACTGCCTGGGACGGTTGTCTCTGACAACCGTCCAGGCCCCTCGTCCGATGATCAGTAGGATCGCTAACCCAATCAGCATCAGAGTAGGTACAAAGTTCAAGTTCTTAAGACATACCATGTTGAACTTGATATGCCTTCGAATCTCTTCACATATCAAGTTCTTAAGAACAACATAAAGGAAGGCAATGGCTTTCTATTGAGAATAGCAGTCCAAGTGGAGTCAAACTCGTCAAGTAAGGCCATAAGAAACAAAATAAGGCAATGAGAATCACGGTAGGTATAGAATTTTTTTGCTTTACTGGGGTAGTTCCAGCAGGGTTTTGATTCAGCAATCTCATTCCAAAAACAGACCATGTCGAAGTAGAAATCCTAAGCAGATTGACCAAACTGTTGTTTCATGGCATGCAATCGAAGGAAAAGTTGGTACTATCGAGAGAGATCGATAGTAGTGTAACGATCAGTTAAGAAGTCCCAAACTACCTTTGCAATATCAAATCGCTGAAAAAGGCGATTAATGGCAGGTACAGAGGTATTGGTAAGTCAAGTGATAATTTTATGATTATCACTGTCCCATTCTTTGAAACGAGTGTTAAATTTTTTAGAAGATTCTCCTTCAACGGCAACAAGGATAGTGATATCACCAGTGATATATTTCCAAAGTTTACGATCACGGAGAAAATTTTGGAATGCTTGAACCCAATGAGAATAGTTAGTGCCATCAAGAATAATATAAATAGGTTGAGAAACATCATCTTGAGCCATTGGAGATGACAAATAACCAAAAATATACACAAAGGAGTGGACAAATAACAGTATAGTACTGATGAACTGAAACTGATGAACTAGATAAAGTGAACTAGATTTGGTCAACTGCTATCTTCAACATCTAGCTTCCATCATCAAATCTTCTCTTCTTCTGAACCAAATTACATTTCCAGAAGATAGATAAAGAAAAAAAAATCGAAACAGGCTAACAAAAAGTTTAGCCAAATCATTACCTTCATTTCTGCATTCCGAGCACTACAGAACCATAACACTTTCAGTTTTTCTACATGATGTTTGAGAAGCCTCCATCAATGCTAGTGCAAATTAATGAGCAAAATAACTATAATTGATGACCATCTTCATCTGCGAAACTTGCCTGCCGAGTGACAGTAATTTCTTCCTTTTGACATTCTCACAAAAACGACAGGGAACCATGTTGCTCTTTTTCCAACGAGATGATGTCTGCTTCCTAAATAGATTCAGGAAAAAAACACCACCATGTTAGCCACGTTGAACCATCAAAACTTATGAAGAATGTATTACAAAAATTTCTAAAGAGCAAATATTAAGCAGAATTACATCGATTCAGCCATAAAAAACGCATACTAAATTCAGAGCATAGCTTTTGTATGTGATTGATTTGAAGTTAAGGCAACAGCAACAGAAACATTGTAGGCCTTCAAATTTAATTCATTGAGACTACATACCTCTTCATCTACTCTGTCACATATTGCTTCCCAGAAGATTGATCTTCACTCCTTAAGAGAACAATTGTCTACCACATCACCATCCATACATTTTTGCTTGGAAACCACTGCTTTCTGCATGTTCCAACATAGCCCATGAGACAATTTGCATGTTACAAACCCAGAAGGAAGTAATGGTAGCAAAAGTCAATCGAATTTGCATAAATTGTCCTTGTGATTCTTTCTGAAAATAAAGTGATTATCAAAGCTAAATGTTTAACTAAATGTTAAAGGAAGAGTAAGATGATAATCTTTCGTCTCTTTCTAAAATGACGTTCTAAACTGGAGTTTGGCAAACTAATCTGAAGAACAAAAATGCAAAATTTATATTCATGTACTAGCATTCATAAATTCTCTTATTAACTTCTTTTAGCTGACTGATTTCTCCTGACAGACTAAAATCTTTGGGACAAACAAAAATCAGAAAAGGATAACCGTTTTCAGAAAGAAATGGGTAATGGATGTCAATATCCTTTCAGTGTTGGGAAGTTGTTTCCTTCTTCCTTGAATTCTTAAGAGTAATTTATCAACTTCCATTGAATGGGCATGCTGAAACATGCTCATTTAACCTAACAAGCAGATACTTTATGGTAGAGTACCTCTAATTAGGTGAAACCATGTTGGAGAACTTCACGTGAAACATTTATCATTGATCTCCCACCTTCATTAGTCTTCTGAAATGTAACATATTCCAAGTGGTTTCTTAATAGTTATAAATTATTTTTAGATTTGCTAGTCTTTCTTGGCTAAAACATAACAGATAGAATGCTACAATAACAAAACCTGTTTATTGATCATTCAAACTGCAATTTTTTGGATTGTGACTATTTATCTTGAAGTAGACATGTCAAAATAATTTAGTTAGTTAAGAACCAAGAAGGTGCTTAGGGTACGTTATTTTACTAAAACAAATTCAACACTGAGCCTGGTACCTGGAATGACTAACTGTCAGCACAGTTGCATAATGAGTCCCTCTTGTTCTTGAGTGGGAAGGTATAAATTTTTGCCGCTGCAATTGCAGCACCAAAACTTTGAATTGATTCCATCCAAATGAACGACTGACACTGCAATCGCATGCTTCGTTTATGTCGTCCAAATGATCACCAATGCTGTCTACAATGTCTAACTTCTTTCCATCAAATCTTGTCACCTCTGGAACTAAAGTATTAGCACGTCCAGTTTTCTTCAAGCAAGTCTTGTACCTTGGTAGCACGTCCAGTTTGCTCCCCTCTAATTCTTCTCAATCCATACTACTTTCTACAAGCCTGGCACAAGCCACTCTGTTTTCAGCATGCTACAAGGAGAAAAGGTTCAGTATTTGATTTATTTTGTTAAACACTTCCAGAAAATAGATATATAAAAAAAAAAGCCATTGAAACAGGCCAATAGACATGCAGTCAACATTTTTTACCTTCATTTCCACATTCTGAGCAACATATGGCATTCTGGTGGGAAAAATCACAGATAACTACCTTCCATCTTCAAAACCTGACTGATAAGTGAAGATAACTCCTCCCTCTTGACATTCTCATAAGAACAACTCGGGAACCTTGGTGTTCTTTGTCCAAAGAGCATAATCTCTACTTCCTAAACAAATTCTGGAAAAAAAAATAACAATATGACATCACAGTTAGGCCCAATTACATCCTAAAGAGCAAAAATTAAGCTAAATTTCATCGATTAAGCCACAAAGAACACTTACTAGTGCAGATACCACCCTGCATTTAGGCCCAATTACACTTGGACCAATTCCCCTTGTGGCCATAATATTGTCAATCCAATTCACAAAATAGAAAAGTAGCACACTTTCGAGCCTTTCACAATGTTTCATAAGCTGCTTCACTGTCACTTGTGTCCTGCAAGGCCATAATATTATCAATCCAATTCACAAAATAGAAAAGTAGCTACTTATAGTATCTGAATTTTAAAAATTTTAAAAGATGATAAGAATTTAAAAATTCCTCTGCAAACAATTTCAACTGAATCGACATTGAGCTAATTTTACGGCAATCATAATTCAGAGTCTTACAGAGAGACTATTAAGAACATATCCACCCGTTAAATGCTAGGGGTAAAAACAAAAATTGTCACCTTCAAGTGCTGTTGAGTGTAGTGGGTATTTAAAGATATCAATTCGACATCCAAATTCTATGGGCTTTCAACGAATCAATTCAACTTTTGAATGTGTTTCTTTCCGACGCTACAGGTGTATGGTTATAGCAGCATTACTGTATTTAAATAATTAGTGACTATATATGATTACAGGTGTAGGCATTCAACAATACTAATTTAATGGTTGTGCTTGTTATGGTGTTTTCCTATATATATGCATGTTATAATGTGTGTATCACCCCAAATTGCTATTTCATTGGTTTTAATGTTGTTTGGAAATATCAATGACAAAAAAAAGAAAAGAACATACTTATGATGGTTCAGAAAAGAATATAGTAGTAAATTTTACCATGCTTATTCATCCTTTTGATGGTTCAGAAAAGCAGATGAAATCCAGAATTTTTTTATCTTTCAATTTGCTCGTAACTCTACTTTGTTAATGACATGAATCAGCTTAAAAATTGAAAGAGAGAGTAATCTTTTGCCAGAAGAAGTAGAGGAATAGATATTTATGGAGAAAAAGAGTGAGGGACAAATACGGGTAGAATAAGATGATCCAATAATGAGAAGCAATTAATTAAAATTTTGAGACGAAATCTTACGAGATCAATTTCACGCTCTGGAATATTAGAGATCTTGGACCACTCGGAGCCGCTTTCAGGAGTGCATCTTGGTTTTAATAGAGGACAACTACGAATTACCAGACGTCTTAATTTGAGGCGTTCCATGGCATCTACGGAGGGTAAATATTCAAGCTTTGGGCATCTACGGAGGATTAGCTCTTCAAGAGACGCAAGGTTCCCAAGCCAATCTGGTAAGGCTTCGATTGCGTTGAAGCGTTTTAGAGATAGTGATGTGATGGTAGTCAAGTCTTGAAGCTGATGTGGCAGAGATTTCGTGTCACGCATTCCCTGCAAAGACACGTGTTGCAGTGATGATGAAGATGCTAATCCAGCCCAATCAAATTCGATTGCAGAGTCATCTGAGAAGGGCCCAATCTTCACTTTCCTTAAGCTGGTAAGATAGCCAAATCCACTAGGCATCTCAGTAATCAAGTCGGAACACCCGTATAATGAGAAGCTCTCGAGAGAAGGGGTTCGTCGCAAATCAAGGGGAAAGGAGACCAGACTGCGGCAATAGGACAACTTCAGCTCTCGGAGAGACGTACACGACTCGAACATCTCCACTGGTAATCTTGTTAATGCATCGCACCTACCGACAGTAAATCGCTCAAGAGACTTAAGGAGGCCTTTCTGTCCAAATGAATTTTTAGCATTTGGATACCCAAATGAATCAATTCTCGGGCAACAGAGTATCTTCAAGTCCTCTAAAGCTTGAAATTGATAAAGATCTTCTGGCAACTCCCATAAATTGTAACAACGAATGACTGTCAATCTCTCAAGACAAGCGGCGCAACTCATTCCTCTTAATGTTGTTACATTGGCGGCATCCATCAATTCTACATGCTGAAGAGTTGGAAAAAGACAGAGTCGCTCAAGCATGTCAGTGGGTAGACTGTTACAGCCTTCAATACTCAAGCTGCTCTCTGGTCGTCTCACTAATTCTACAGACTGGATGCGTTGACGACTACCACCACTTAATTTAAGGGACGAGAGATTGGCTATACTGCTCAAAACCTTTTCTGCCAGCAAAACGTGGCAATCCCATTTGATTTCCAATACATCAAGACTTGGAAAAAGACAGAGTCGCTCAAGCATGTCAGTGGGTAGACTGTTACAGCCATCAATATTCAAGCTGCTCTCTGGTCGTCTCACTAATTTTAGAGACTCGATGCGTTGAAAACTACCACCACTTAATTCAAGGGACGAGAGTGTGGTTATATTGCTCAAAACCTTTTCTACCAGCAAAACATGACAATTCGCTTTGATTTCCAATACATCAAGTCTCGGGAAACGACTTGGAGTTGGAATGGTGGTCAGCTTGGGGCAATCACTAATATACAACTTTTCCAGCACGGGAAACACATCCATCATTTCGTGTGCATCCTTCCACTCTTCCAAATTTTGCATGCTTTCAAGAGAGAGAATTTTAAGGGCTGGAAAGAATGTTTGTCTGCTAATAGTGCTTGAACCTCCTGATCCGCCGTCCTCCTCAGCACTTGTACTGTAGAATGAAAGCCCAATGCTTCTTATGTTTTCCAATCCAGTCAGATATAGATGTTGGAGGGATGACAGCTGTCCTAGCGCAGGGAGTTCTCTGCATCTTGTGCAATCCGCTACACGCAACTCCACCAGTGATGTCAAATTCATGAACCATTGTGGAAACTGATCACCCATGAACTTCAAAATTTGTAACTCTTTTAAATATGGGTGAGGTTGGAGGCCTTCCAACACATTTTCATCGCATTTATTACTTTCCCGATCCCTATTGCCCCACTCATATACCAACCGATACAGATTTGGCTTTCTAGATAGGTTCGCCAGTTTAGCATCATCTTTGCCATTCACTAATTCAAGATTTCTGATCTCCAAGGAGCCTTTAAGATATTGCAAGGTTCCAAGCTCTTGGATACCACGACCTTCCTCTTGACGACCTATGTTAAAGAACTCCAGCGTTTGAAGACAAGTCAATCGTCCAATCCTGGATGGCATTTGGATTTCCCAATTGTCCCCATAATAGCGAAGATGTCTCAAGCTAATCAAATTGCTCATCTCCTTTGGAAAACCTTCTTCAAGCATGCCAATTCTCAGTGTTTGCAAACTATAAAGTTTGCAAAGAGATTCTGGCAAAGTTCTAATCCAAGAACCTGAAATGTCAAGTAAGTGTAAATGTATTAGTTTGCCAATGGAGGTCGGCAACTCTTCGGCATCTGCTCCGAACAATTTTAGGACATGCAAGTATTTGAACTTTGATAACATATCATCAGCTATGCCACCCTCCAGAAATAATGTGCGAAGCGATGCTGATGCTTTTTCATTGATTCTTTCGGGTGAGTATACCGCAAGGTAACGGTCCTGATTGCTGCCGTTACGGTTCAAAATTGATTTTGCAAAATCATGCACAAGATCATGCATTTTATACCATGTTCCCCTCCAATCTCTTACTTCTTCCAATAAGGAAGTTTGCAGCAAAATTCTCAAATTCTCACATCCTATTTTCTCCATCATTCTTTCATTTTGGGAATCCGTTTGAAGAAAGCCTTCAGCCATCCAAAGCTCAACTAGTAGATCTTGTTCCAATTCAGTATCTTGATAAAAAATTGAGCAATATGCGAAGCATTTCTTAACCGGTGCAGGTGACAGATGATCAAAACTCACCTTAACTATTTGCTCGATCCCACCCTGATCTCCATTCAAGAGACTCTCCTCCAAAATAGATAGCCACTCCTCTTTTCTCTTTTTAGATAACAATCCTCCAATTAACTTTGCTGCCAGAGGTAGACCATCACATCTTCTTAAAACTCGCTCCCTTATGTCTTCCAATTCTTTTGGTATTTCTTCCCCTACAGTTGCCCATTTTTTCATGATAGACCAGCAATCATCATTGCAGAGCTTTCCTAGCTCATGGCGAGTAAAATTGATCTGCGGATGTCTAGACAGAATACTTGCCACTTCTTGCAGACGAGTGGTAACAAGACACCAGCTCCCTTTCTTCGCATTGAGTCCCGCCAAAGTGCTGAAAAAGTCATTCAACAATGCTTCTTGATCATTCCACACATCATCAAGAACAAGGAAATATCTTTTTTCCTTGAGTTCATCTTGAAGTTTTTGAACTATTACCTCCCTACGATCCCCTTCAACCTTTCCTCCTGTTAACGATTCAAGAATCATTTTGAAGACCTTCTCGATTTTATCTACTTCTTCAGCCACACAAACCCAAATTTTTTTGTCAAATTGTCCAACAATTTGTTCATTTTTGTAAACGGCTTTAGCTAGAGTTGTTTTGCCTAATCCACCCATGCCAGTTATGGGAATAACTGAAATAACACTTTCAGATTCGGCCAACAACTTCTTAACTATTTCGGATTCATCCTTATCTCTTCCTAGGACATCTCTTCGAACAATAGTAGAGTCGGTCTGTCGGCTTGTTGTGGCTCCAGCAGCAATAGTAGGGAATGCTTCTTCAACTTGGTGCTTGTAGGCCAGTCCCAAACCTTCTGCATCCCGATGGATCCTTTCAAGGTTCGTGTTGATCTCCCTGATCATTGAACCCAACCTCGAACGAAAACCAATTTTATTAAAGAACGAAAAGCAGAAGAATACCTTCTTTTTCGTGAGTTGATTTTGGTACTTCACCTTCCGACGAAGACTTTCATAGTTGAGCTCGTGCAGCACATTGTCAGCTTTGAAAACCTCTTCTTCCAGCTGCTTGAGCCAAATTTTCACGTCTGAGCTATGCTTGTCCTCGTCGGCACCAGCCAAGAAGCCTCGGATCATTGCAGCAGATTTGTCGAGTTTCTTCAGCTCCTCTGGGAATTCACGAGCCAGATTAACATGATAAGCGGCAAGGGAAACAACCGCCTGCAATGCGACCTTAATAGCAGCACTAACAGCAGCATCAGCCATTTTTTTCTCGCTTGGGATTGGAATTAGGATGAAAGTGTTCTGCAATGGTGATGGGGGGATGCTTTCTGCGATGAGACAAGGAAGGATATTGTTCAACTTTGGCAACTAAGGGCAGCAAAATCTGTGGAAGGCTAAAAACTTGCGGGAATGAAAATTTTCCACACAACTTTTTGCACTTCCAAATTTTTCCACTTTTTGCAATTTGCCCCCCGGCTTCACTCAGCAAAGCTACACCCCAGAGACGTCACCAACGAACTTTTCTTTTACCGCTTTACCGTGACTTCCTGGAAGTTGCCGACAATTGGTAGCCACACCACCTAGCCGACAAGTTGTCGCATCTGCAGCATATGGCCAACCTTCAACTTGCACCTAAAACAGTGGGCGCATGGTTTGTTTGGATTAGATTTTATTTTCCCAAATTTATTTGCTTACATCATCATTACAATTTTCAATACACCTTTTTACCTTCCCAATTACCTTTTTATCTCACATACATCACATCACAAAAAGTGCTACAGTAAAAATATCTCTATTAATTCACAATCCAAACAGATTTACGTTTCTTACTGGCTTAATTAACGTCTAACTCATCATCTTGTAGTTTCTCTTTTATTCGTTTTATTTTTTTTTTACTACTTCCCGATTTACTTTTTTATTTTAAAATGTCTTAAAATATTTATTATTTTATTAAACTCAAATTTACTTTTAATCTCTTTTTTTTAATGTTATTTTCACATTAATCAATATTTGGCACTAAATTCAAGTTTAAAATTTTGAATTTTCAAGAATGATTTTAGTAACAAATCCACTAACATTACCGTCAGGTTACTTATCATTCTTTAAAAAATTTGAATCCTGAAATGAGACAAATAATTTGAAGTGGAGGGAGTATTATTTTAATTTCCATCAGTTTTGTATTTATACTCAAATATAATGGTGATTTCTCAATAGAATTTTGGTACTTTGTATTGCATTTTGTTACCCCCTCCCCCCTCCCCAAACCCCGCAAACTCAATAGTGCGAAAATCGTCCTATTGAATTATATATATATATATATATATATATATATATATATATATATATATATATATAATGAACAAAAAAGATTAATCACTAGAGGGAAAATTTTGTACAAAAGAAAAATTGCTAACTGCTAATGATATAAATACACACAAATTAAACCTATAGTTAGTAATATGGACTTGACTCAATTAAAATCACCAATTAGGAGGTCATGCGTTTCTGAATGATAATCACGAGATTGTGACAAAATATGTGGGACCCAAAAGGATGAAATTTCTCCAAAACACTTTTGAGGGCTGCGGCTTGTTGGCTAATTGCTTAAAATATATTTTCTCATTGTATAGCTGCCGTGCTGAGTCAGCATGGCAGCAGATTGAATTCTGCAGAAATGTCAGCTCAGAGGCCCACTTTTTAAATCAGCCTGTCCCCAGCCGTAGCCCGTAGGGGTGGCAATTCGGGTCTAAATCAGGTTGGCGGGTCGGGTTCGGGTTAACCCGCCAGAAAATCTGTTGACCCGAACCCGACCCGCCAACCCGTGACGGGTCAGATATGCTGACCCGAACCCGAAAATTTCAGGTTGACGGGTTGGCGGGTCGATCCGAAATGACCCGAAACTTAATTTTAATTTATTAATTTATCACTGTAATTTCTAATAAAATCAATTTCTCACAAAACTAATTACATAATCAAGTAATAAAAATTTAAATAAATAATTCCAAACCAAATCTAAAATAAATTAAACACCGTAAAAGTGTTTTATCCCAAACAAAATATAAAATAAATTAAAACAGTATAAAAGTAAAAACTAATATAATATATTATTTGTCCAAATATAATAATTTCAACTTCACACAAATTAAATAAATTCATTTAGGATTAAGTAATTAATGCTTTTGAAAAAAGAATAACTTAGTTTAGTTAGATAAAATTATTTTTATGTTTATTAAATTATTTTTAATTCGTAAACGGGTCATATCGGGTCATATCAGGTCACCACGGGTTGACCCGAAATTAACATGTTTTTTTTCGGGTTCATCGGGTCCAACCCGATTCTGACCCGAATTCCCGAAACCTCAACCTAAACCCATTAATTTCGTGTTAGGTTCGTGTCGTGTTTTCAGTCGTGTCGAAAATTGCCACCCCTACCCAGCCGTGCTGACTAGGCACGACTGGGGACAGACGGTCGAAAAAAAAGAGGGAACTAAGCATGAATTACTCAACTATCGTTTCCGGGAAAAAAAAAAAAAACTAAGCATGAATTACAAGGAGATAACCTGACAGTACAAATATTTAAAAAGTTTAATCAAATGAAAAATTTCAACTAGTCCATGACAATGGGAGATGCCGTTTTTGAAGGATAATGGATACCGTTTATGACATAAGTTATTTAAAACATTGTTTTGTATTAAGAAGATATAACATTCTCTTGTAATAATTGTATTGTCCACTACTATAATTTTATATTTTTGGAGTTCTAATCAGATTTTTCCTTTTTCATCTTTGGTGTCTAACTTGTAGTGATTTTTATGTAGATTTCGCTTAGGAGTAGCATCAGTGGAAGCTATTTTGGATTACGTTTCTTTTTTCTTTTTCTATTCTGAAATCATTCGCCTTTTTGGTTTCCGAGACTTATTTGGCATAGTCTCTTTGCTTACTAATAAGGTGTGACCTTTCAAGAATCTTTTGAATGAATGTTCATATTTCATTATTTACCTTTCGATGACAAAGGAAAATATAACGCAAACTTGAAATTTGAAATTAAAATCATATGCGATATTGTAAGATGATTTAGTTTGAACAATTAAATTTATACTTTTGTAATAAATTTTTAACCTTTTCAGGTTAAATTGATGAAGTTGTGAAGGTGGTGCCGTTGCTTTGTGATGCCAATGATGGAAGTTTGCTATTCAAATTGTTTGCCTTGAATATGAGTTGGACTCTTTTATGGACTTTTTTAAAATTGTGAAAGAATGTCAACATTTATTTTATTTATTTTTGTGTTTTTGTTTGTGATAATTGGTGAATATTTGGACTATATCTATTTATGTTTGTAATGAATTTATGAAAACTTGCGGTAAATTATGATATTTTAGTTATGTTTATCATTCTAGGTTTCATGTATAACTTTTAGACAATTTATTATTATCTCAACTTAAATTTAGTTTTAATTATGTTGATCAATGCATTTTAGGGACTTAGGTTCCGTTTGATAAAACTGAATCTGAATTCTGAAGTCTGAATTCTGAAATCTGAATACTGAAACAATTAATTTGCTGAATTTTAAGCACTGAAAAAAATATATGAATGTCTGAATTTTAATGCTAAACCTATTTATGCTGTTTGATAAATATTTATAGCTGAATGCTTAATAAGTTTAATTTGACAATTTTGCCCTTATATCCTTTCATTCAAAAAAGAAATAGAATCTATGATTTAATTAGTTTAAAATTGTTAGGTATGAAAATGACAATATTTATTTTTAAATCAAATTAATATAAAAGATGAAATATATTATATTAGGAGTATGGAGAAGATGTGAAAGTCATTAAAAAGGGAGAAAAGAGAAACTAAAAATCGTTAGATAGAAAATATTATGTTGTTTAATTAGATAAGAATTTTGAACATAATTAACAAACAAGGGTAGATTTGATAGATAAGATAAGGTAGTTGAAGTAATTCTATTGATTCTTATCAGAATTAAACATTCAGTTAGGATTCTTGTGCTGAAAAAAATACACACAGGTTTAGCACTGTTTAACAAGTTCAGCAAATAGATTTTCATTTGTCAAACACTCAAAACATCTGAATGTCTGAAAAAATTCAGATTCAGCACTTTTTTATGTTATCAAACAAACCCTTAAAGTTATCAATTGTCACGCCCCCACCTCCCCCTGAGGCGAATCAGAGGGTTCGACGGGCCGCCTGCCCAACTCTCGCCGGGACTCACTCACTTACTACATTCCTCAAGTAAATTACAAGATACAACTCAAATAATACATCCAATTCTCCAAAATTACATATCCTAAGCGAAGCGGAAACTAGTTCTAAGCGTAAAATGTAGATTTACATCCGATTCAATTCCAAATATTTATACAAGCCCAAAAGTACATAAACCAAAATCAAAACTAAACTATACAAGATGTACGCCATCCAGCCACACAAAGATCCAAATACAAGTTCTTCCTTTACCTCGATCCCTGTGGGGAGAAGAAGATAATAGGGGGTGAGCTAGAAGCTCAGCGAGTGACCAGTAAAATCAACAGCCAAGTATATTTCACAATAAAGCATTGATATGATGCCATGATACAGTAATCAAATGTTCATTTATTGCTCACGAGAGTCAGTGAAGTTCTTGTACTTAAATATCCAATGCTCGTTTAGATCAGGTAACTGTGAAACAGAAGTAAGGAGCCATCGTGCTCCAAAGAATATGTAAACAGTAGAGGAGACATTGGTTCTAAGCACAAGACTTTCCAGGAACTCATTGGAACCAAATTATGTCATGACATACACCCGAACCCAAATGATATGTAATGGAGTAATAAATGCAAGAATTAGTTCAAAAGTAACTTTGGGAACAGTCGAGAGATCACTCACCAACTACAGCGCAGGAACTATCCATCATACCTTATTGCCATGCTCAAGTCCAAGCCCTAAATTACAATGACCATGTCAAGCAAAAGAAAGTCTAAAACCCGCAAGTTCCTATCACCTTTTTAGCATTTTAATCACAAATAAAGCTACACCCTTGCCTTATCATTCATTTTCATGTAATCATATAAGTCAAGTGAGGAACACATATATCAAGTACAATCGAATATTTGGAAGCACTTGCCACAATATAGTGCCTCAAGTATTCACGTTCAATTACACTTCAGGCTTAGAGTCCAGATCTGCGATAGAAATCCAATTTGAGAACTTTGAAACACGAGTAAGATTTGAAACTTAAACGTTCCGTTCATAAGAATCAACCAATTGAAATTCATTTGAAAGGCATTCGTGAAACACTTGCTCGCTTTTCAAATCATAAGGTTTTTGTAGCATATATACTTGGAACAATACTTGAGTTGAAAGTACAAGGAAATACAAGTTTACATTGGCCATTATATCTTTTCCTCAAGAGTACAAGTTCGTTTAGGTTTTTAACGTATAACCATCAATAACAAAGTAGCAAAAGTTCTCGCTAGTTCAAGTGGTAATCACTTAACCTTCACTCAAGTTGCAAATATAGTTTTCTAGTTCTCGAATAAAAATTCGGGCAGCATGCCCTTTGTGTTTACCTAATTTTCCAGCCATTTAGGCTTCATTATTTTTCTCAGCCACAACCCAAAGTTACATATATAAGCAATTCAAGTCAAGAGCCATTCCATAGGCTCACAATATCATAAGAACAAGATTCACAATAATAGCAAGTGCAGAAATTCAATTTAGCAAAAGACAGATTTGACATATGGATGCGGAAATAACATATCCGAGGCTACGCTTATCGGATTGAGGCGCAACCTATGCCGTTTCGAAGCTAAGACTCAGGGATACAATGTTCATGAAGGTCACTTAGTCCAGTTCCTAGTGCAACTTAGTCAAATTCTCAAATTACAGAACCAAAATCCAATTTGTCAACTACTTAACCGCATTACACTGTAATGATCATATCTCAGAGTCCAAAAGTCCAAATCAGGTGTTCTTAGAGGCATTTGAAAGCTAAGTCAGAATACTACAACTTTCATGTTTTGGCCAAGACCTAAATCAGTACGTATCCTAGTCAAAAAACGTGATAAACTGGACTAACTGATGAAACGGACTGCTGGAGAAATACTTAAAACAGTAAGGGTATTTTGGACTTTTCACGACCTACGTTGCTCCGATTGAGCTGAAATTTTGTAGGCACCTATAAAATACCATTCTCTACAACTTTCATTCTTTGACCTAAGGCCAATTCAGCCTCTAACATAGGGTTACAAATTCGGACAGAATGTTGGGAAAAATTTTCCAGATTCTGGAATTTTTTGCAATCAATGGAACTTCCTCAATTTTCTTGTTCTAATCACTACCAAAACACCTTATACAACCTTAATTGCAACATACAAGCATCATACAACAAATTGGGCAGAAATTTCTCAAGCCCTAGTTCATCATATAAAAGGGGAAAACTTCCAAATTCATCACACCCACTTGCATAATCATGAAATCAAGCCAAAACTTAAGCTACAAACACATCTTAAAGCAAGATTCAAAGCAACAAAGATCATGATCAAATGTTGGTACCTCAAAAGCAAGGCTTGGTAGAGTGATCCTTCACCCCCTTTGATATTTCTTGGTTCCTCAAGCTTCCCAACTCACACTTAGTACTTTAATCGGTTTAGAATTGGATTTGTTACTTGGGTTGAAGCAAATCAAGAAGGAAATTTGTTGCTCTTGCTCTCCTTTTCTCTCTCCCTTGTCTCGGCCAAGAAGAAGAAAAAATGAAGAAGAAAGTTGCTGAATTTTGGTGTTAAATAAAGAGTTATTGTCTTTGGTCAAGAAGCTCTAAGGTGGCGACAAGTGTCGCCACCACTACCTTCCATTTTTCTCTTTCTTTTTCTTGCATTTCTAGCCTTGTAATTCGGTCAACCTTAGCTGTAATTTAAGAAGATATTTTGCTCAATAGTCAATAAGCTTGTTTGGTAAGAAAAATGGTGGTCAAGTGGTGCGTTCAATCGGTAGTGCGCGGGACCCGCCGGTTCGCGCCGTTTTTCTTAAAAACTCACGTACCAGTGTTTTTACTTCCCATTCACTAACCTTATATCATTGCTACTAGTCACATATTATTTTTCACTTAAAAGTCACTTTTAATTCCCAAATTTAATCCTTACTCTGTACCGAAAATTCATCCGGCGAAAAATCGCGAAAACCCTAATTTTGCTCCAAACTTGAAACCGAAGCGTGAAACTCTACTTTCTAGGTTCATTGGCACTTATTGTGGGGTGATTGAGTAGTAGGGCTATTATAAGGTGGTATTTGTCAAAGAAAAGGGAATTTTTAAGAAGAATATAAGGAATTTACACTGCTTCTAGCCGGATTCTCCACAAAATACTATTCATCAGAAATTTTTCCCTTTTCTTCTGCCTCGGGGCGTTACATCAATAACCATGTTAGATTGTGCTCAGCCACCAAGTTCAAATGTAGAGTGAAGATTTGTGAAGTACTTAACACTAGTAACGCTACTATTTGTGATATTTTAGTTATGTTTATCATTCTAGATTGTATTTGTGATTGCAGTTGCTGTTTTGGTTATGGCTGTTTTGGTACTGGTTACTGTTGTGACACTGGGTGTTGCTGAGGACGTTGTGATTGTGACTTTTGCCGCTGCTGTTGTTCTGATTAAACCCTCAAGTTTTAAACAATTAGTCTAAATATTAACGCAGAGCTTTTCAATCCATTTTTGTTAATCACCAAGAAATTGCTTATTGAGGGTATTGGTAACTAGGGGTGACATTCTGTGTTCTTTTTTCTTTTTCTTTTTCTTTGACGAAGATATTCTGTTCTTTATCTTCTTCGTGTCTCTGTAGATTACAAGTAACTGTTGTTGTAATTAGTACAATTCTAGAGACGCGTGCATCCGTAATCCTGGGAAAAACCGAAAGGCTAATTAAGTGTGCCATGCATCAGGTAAATTACTGGTAATTAACGAAGCAAATCTCCACTTCCTCAGATGGAAGATGAAGGGATTCCAAGAGATCTAGTAAAGATTTTGGAAAAAAAATAGTAGTAGTAACATTTATGATTGGCAACGCAGTTCTCAACTAAACTCAACCGGCTAATTCATCAAATTCTCAACTAAACTCAACCGGCTAATTCTCAACATTTATGCATTTCTTAAAGTCTCCACATTATTGTCTATATAAGAGAGTTGGTGGAAAGTCCGAAGAGATTCAAGAATGGTTGATAGGATTAGTGGTCTTCCTGATGCTATTCTTAGCCACATTTTGTCATATCTCCCCACAAAATTAGCAGCGGCCACCTCAGTTCTACTTCTATCCACCACATGGGCGGACATTTTCGCTTCAGTTCCTAATATCGACCTTCAGTACTGGGGAATAACTCTTGAACATGTGCGCTTCACCATGTTTATAAACTTTGGCCTGAGAGTTATTCTCCTCAGAGTCAGAAATGGGGCTCCAACCATGAATTTTCGACTCGACGTTTCTCGTCTTTATTGGAGGGTTTGAGTTGGAAATTGAGTCCTTGATAATTGCAGGACTTGAATGTGGAGTCCAGAAGCTTGACATTTCTCTCATGGGCGCAGTTGGTAACCGTTTTTCTCTCCAAGGAATAAGAATATTCTCTTCCAACACCATGGTTGATCTCAAAGTTAACTGGCCGCTTCTATCTGGACTTGAATCTGCCAACTTCGGGTTATTCCTTGCCAAAACTCAAGGTGCTACTCTTGATGGGATGGAGATTAGGAGACGAGGGTTGTGTGCAGAGGCTTATTCAGGGCTCCCCTCGGCTTGAAGAACTTGAAATGTCCGTGGAATGTTCCAACAGTAGTGCTAGTAAAGTTCTTGACATCTCAAGTCCTTCCATAAAGAAGCTCATGCTTCGTTTTCTAATCAAATATGAGGATTGTACCGTTTTTATTGAAGTCTTGCTTTTCGATTTCTCGGATAATTGTCTCAAGCAATTAGAATCACACCACCCATCATGTCTTTATGTTCTCGCTTCTTTTGCCGTTCAAATTTGCGGTTAACTTGGATAGCCTGGGAGCGGATCAAGAAGATTGAGAAGGGCGGCATGGGAATGTAAGATCCAAGACGGAGTTTGTACCACTAAAGGAGAGTCAAAATAGTAGCGTTACTAGATGCCACATTAAGACCTCGTTTATCATCTGCAATTGTTATTTGCAGTAGAGCAGCATATTGAAGATGGTTGTCCCTGTCCTGAATGGCCTGTCCAATTTTGCAGCTACCCTTAGGCCTTGGTAGGTGGGTTACATTACAAGTAGATGCTTCCTTTTCTATTCTTGTCACTGCCGAACTCTTTTCCCACAACCACTGGGCAAATATATGCAAAATGTGGGATTCTCATAAATATGCAAAATGTAAAACATTCTCACTGAAAAGAAATATTGCATATGCAGTAACCCCGAAATGAACACTTGTTTCTCATCAACCCATTCATAACCTATAGTGACAAAATTTGGACTAATCCTATATAATGAGTGTCTGCAGAAAAGGTACATCCGGAACGATAACTCCAGAGCATTCAAAAGGGCCCAGATTAAGCCCTGCGAAACAACACGAAAACGTGCTGTCAGACGTACATTTTGGATATATGCAAAGTGGCACGTAAAATACTTTGGATATCCAGAGTCAACAGTCTGTAATGCGCAAAATAAAAGACACCACACGATATTAAGATCCTGAAATGGAATGGATTAACATATAGCCGCAAAAAGCAGGAAAAATGAAACCAATGAGGCAGCTTGAATTGAACCCAATCTATTAGGTATTTACCAAAAGGTGACAAGAATAGAGATGTCAACGTGCACTAGGCTTAACAGGAAATCAGAAATTCCTAAAACCATGTATTGGGATGCCAAGACGACCAGGAAATGTAGCGAATGACGTATGTTTCAATTTCTCATGGAAAAGAATCACACATTACATTCACCTGCTTATGAAAGAATTATCGGCAGTACTGATAATTATCTTCTCGCCAGCTAACACGTAAGATGGTACCTACAGAAACGGGGGTACATAAAAAGAGTAAGAAAACAATCTATTCATTTACTTTGACAGTGCTACCACATGCTAAGTTTTATCAAAACAATTCTGGGTTGCAAGTGGCAACATAAAAAATATGAACAATTACGGAAATCCTTGTCAAATTTAATTGTGTAGAACACCAAGAAAATAATACAATGCTTCCCCTTCACCAATCCCTAGAATATGCCAAGTCACGGACAAGATTCTTCTTATAAATCAGCCCAATTACATGTATTAGGCAAAACTCCAAGTAAACCAACACCAAGTGTCAGTATTACCAAAACAAACAATGCAATAAGCATGCGATAACTGAGAACAAATGCAGAGGAAAAAAAACAGGAACTGCTTGAAGCAACTCTGTACTTTTCCTTTTGCTAGGGCTGCTTTTTGCCTTCACATCTCCTCCAAAAGAGCATAGAGTTTCCAAGATGTTGGCCCCAGAGTTCTTGCCCACCCCTTTTCTACTGTAACTGTTTTAGCTATGACTATCTCAGTAGTTCCTTACCAAATGTAATCCTAGGATCCTAAGGACGACCCCCAGAAGTTTCACGAGTACATCCTTTCTCTCTTCTTTTCACAGGTATTGTCAATCAGGTTTAAACATAAATAAATTTGAGGAGACTAAACTCTTCCTTGCCAAACACAAGTCTCTCTAGGATATTTCGTCTTTTAGGCAGAACACTCCAGTAAAACAATAGCACAATTACGTTCCAAATATTTCATTCTAAGCAAGTATTCTACATATTTTCTCTCACTTGTTACCTCCTCCCCAAAACCAAAAAAGGGACCATCTATAGTGGACATGATTATATGCAAACCTTCACTATACCTTTTTAAGGATGCAATCTATAAGAAAAGCTCTAAATACCAACTTCAATTACTTTCCATCAATTTTTCAACATTGTCCAAAATGCCTGCTTGGTTCCATTATTGGGCCGAAGTCATGACGAATGTGGTGTCCATCACATTCACACAAATGTAGTCACTCACAAGTAAAAAGCCAAGATCCACAGATTATTACTTGTCAACACATTTCTTCACCTCATTCTTTCACATGGTTTCCCCATTTCTGGTCCAGTAATCTCATTCAGAAATCGGTTAACAGGAAAATCGGTCTCAAATTGCAATTTACAACAGTGCATCCATCCATTTAAACATCACAAAACAAATTTGTTTATTTTTGGTTCTGCATCACGTTTGCTAGGTTAACATAGTGGCAATTTATCACATCTGGTAGCGGCTACAGAGGAATAATGTCTCGAAAAGAATCCTGAATCATAGGTGAGAACACGATCAACTCACCTGAACCGTGAGACCATTGTCCAGCTTAACCTTCTTATACCTGTAAAAGTGAAAAATTATGAGAAACTAGGAACTCAGAATTAGAGAAGGAAGAAGCAGAACTAGGAGATTAGCAAGCTTGACTTTCTGAACAAATCTCATAGTGCCAAAGACTTAGTTGTTGGTCTAAAACTTTCATTCCTTTGGTAGTACTTAAAAGAAGATTTATATCCACCAAAGTCATTTCATATTCAGAGGACATATTAGTCACTGCTACCAATTCAACAAAAGAGACTCTCCCTGACTGTATCTCTCGCTCTCATGTGTTACTGATTTTGCTGATTCAACATACCCGCACCGTACCCTCTCAGCAACAAAATCACAAATTTAGTTTCATAAATAATAAACATACCAATTGCATGTAAACCAACCGGCCATCTCCTATAAGTAATACATGGTCTTAACAAGAGGAACCCTTTCCAATTATGCAAAGCCTTTACCAGACTATACAGGTAGAAATTTCTTTTCCAGTTCTCAACTTACGCCCTTTTCATTTCCTAATTTTAGCATTTAAGAGAAATCCAAAGATATTGATACCTCACACTCTTAGGAGTCGTCTTTACTGATACAAAACATGCCAGCATTAAACCACTGGAAGATCAATTGTAGTCCGACAAACATGAACACACTATGGACGGGAGCATATTCATGCAACAGAAAAATTTGCTGAAGTACAGAAATGCAAAGAAACACCAGCAAAATTTTGCTTTTGGCTGAAAAATTGTGTGAGAAATTTTAAACTATGCAAGAGCTATACATTTGTTTAAATATGTACACCAACTTCAAACACGAAAAGCTTGAGGTAAACTAAATTGTTGAGGGATACTAGATTTTGTGTCAAAGCATTCAGAAGTCTTACAGATGAGACAAAATCCTTACAAGTATCAAGCAAGCACAACCACTTGAAGACACAGCTGCAAGCTATTTAAGTTGCAATGCAATGACAGAAAAATGACAACCAAAGGAGGACCAGAGATATTGCATAGCAACTAAATCTGAACAAGATAGATGAGATGTAAAGAGCATCAGAGCAGGAGCATCTATACAAACTATGCCTGGTTAGGTTCTGGACAAATATGAATACTACATGTTGAGGTTCTTTTCGGCCTACAATCTAAAAAGTGATAAACATACTGAGGAGTTGCTGTAGACCCCTTTATTGGAACTTGTGCCTCAGCAACAGTACATGTCACTTTCGGAGGAATTGACACAGACATCGGCTTCTCATCGTAAAGTTGCAGCTTGACTTTCATATCATCTGCATTCCATGAGGTCCATGAAGTGTATTTTCTAATCATTAAGCATGTCAATCAAATAAGTTAACTGCCATTTCATCCAAAATTTAAACATTCCTTTGGCACACACAAATTTCTACAATATCTGCAATGTAGAGCAGGAAAAAGGAACTAAATAAATAAAACATGTGACATTTTTACCCTGGAGGTATGGAAGAGATTCACCAAACAAGTGCTTTGGAACATTAATTTGTGCATATGTCTCAGGCCTGCATAATTACAAATAATCATCAAGCCTTCGAATAAATTCAGAAGATGATCAACAGCTCAAAATCAAGACCAAAAGTTAGGACTTACTCCATAAGAACAACAATGTCATCCTCATTATAAAGGTAACTGAAAGATTTTTCTTCGACATAAACTTCTGCAAACACAAGCTATTAATTTAAAACTTCTCATACAAATGAATATTAAAAAGCAATAAACTTTAGCAATTTCCACATCAGGCCCATAGCCTGGGAATTTGAAGATCTTGTACATAATTGATTTCGCATATGGCAGATAAATGTAGTACATTTTCTGAACATTTCTTAGACAACAATAGGCTCTAGCCATAAAAAACACACATGTGGTGAAAAAGAAGACAGCAGTTGTAACAAATGAATACATAGAACCTCTGCTTTGTTCATGCTGCATGGTTTCACTCTGCTGTTCCATATCTTTAAGATTTGAAACAATTAATTTGACTATTCTTACAAAGAAAAAGAGCAGTAAAACTAAGGAGAATGGCAAGCATGTTTATTTATTGGACATGTAAACAGGAACAAGCTTCATTGGATTATCAGATCACCAAAGTAATCAAATCGCAAAAAATACTGGAGCAAACTTTCTAATAATATTAGGAAAGTATATCCACACGGGCAATTGTTATAATCAAAATAAATTTCAAATTAGACAGTGTCAGTCTCTTAAAAAGACAAATTGAAGAAGATACAGTTTTTAGTCACAAACCGTAGAATGACTAGAAGTCAAAAGGATCACTACCTCTTGTAATTGTATTACTTCAACTCTTGCCCATGCACCAACATGTAGGTCAATTATAAGGGATAAACATTTTTCCTCCACTCATAAAACTGATGGACAATATTTTTATGGTACACAGGAAAGTAGAACGACTGAATATTGCCACCCATGATGAAACAATAATGTAGGACTGGGCTTCAGTCCACTACATACGAGTAAGCTTAAGACTTCAAAGTATTACAAGCATTCAACACGAAAATCTCAAGCATGAGTTTAAAGCAACAAGAATCAAGTAGTTGAAATTCATACTTTCAATAGACTCGTCAGTACGGAACCTTTCATTTACTTTACTTCCACTATCAACATCACGCAGTTCCACCTGTAATATTCTCAAAAAAAAAAAGGAAAAGGCATGAGTACAACTGACAGATATTTAATAATATTCAAGAGTGAAGACAAGATCATATACATTGCAGCAGTTCAGGGAAATGATAAACAAATAAGCTGCTCTAAGAAGATAGTACCTTAAAATCTACAGATTATATCTTTTACAATGCTAAATCCAATTAAGCTGTTCGTAGAATATTTGTAAGCTGAAAAGGCTGTTTCTTCGACACAATGTTGAGGCGCCACTCACAACAATTTTTGGCTTTTCAAAAATTTTCAAGCAATAATTTTCAATATTGTCAAACAGCGTTTTCAACAGTCAATAAACTTAAATTACAGGAACAAGTTAGAACTAAACAAGAACAGAGCCATATCCTATGTCAACCATCCAAGGCACAAAAGTATTTCAAAATTCACAAACCAAAGGACTCGATGAAACAGTATAAAATGAAAAGTCCTAATAGGCAAGCAGGATTCTCTAAAATATATCATTATGTCTGGTAAATCATAATCATGGTTTGTATGATTTACTGCCAAAACCATGTCACAGGGTGCAGGGATAAGAAAATGTGTGTCACTAACATGACAAGCCAGAAGATTTTGTTAACAGAAAGTGTTGGTAAAACTTCCAGAAATAATACTAAATAAAAGTCAGCAATAAGATGGCATTCTTAGCAACCAACCAGTGAGTCATAGATAACACATTATGACGGGGACAGTGCACAACATTCTCAAGAAAGTAGGACAAATCTACCATGTTTTACCTTCCAAGAAATGGTTGAGAAAAAAAAATATCACAAGAAAGTCCCATAAGGATGTCTTTAGAACTAAAATGCACTTGAGCTTGAAGATTATACGAATTAAAATGCGTGAAACTGCACTGAAAGAGCAAAGCTAGACCTGTATTATTGCTCCTCCTCTTCCTTGAGTTGTATGCTGGGCCTTTACTACCTGAACCAAATTAAACTTCATCAAGGACCATTTCATGTAAAATAGTATATGGAAACAAGTAATGACATCACAATGTATTGAAAAATAAAAAATTGGCACACTTAATTACCTGATAAATCTTTCCTGAATACCACCAAAACCATCCGAAAACAACATTGGAATGCTCAATTAGTGGCATGCATATTATGTCATAATCGCTTTAATTCAATGTATTAAAAATCTAACCTTTTCTCTCGATGACATTCCCAGGTCTCACCTGCACCAATGTTAGACAAGCAATTAACCATATGAGTAACACAAGACTGAGGAGAAGATAATTACTCAAATCATGACAAATAATGCAGTAACAACAGTTTGCAATAAAAGGCAACAATGGAGAAATACATGCAGGTTCATACACAAAAAGCTGAAAGCTAAAAGAATTTTACCATTTCTATCTTTCCTGTGTAACAAACACAGAACCTTTAATTTGTCAAACACAGAAATAAGTCAAAACAGAACCTTCAAGTCAAAGAAGCTCTTGTGGTATACAACTTGAGATTACAATTTGTCTCCTAATTATACATACCTTTAGTATGCAATGAAAAAGCTACTGAGAATCCGGTGTTCTAAGTAGGAATGTTTAAAAAAAAAAAACAGATTAAGTAAAAAAAATGTTCCTGCTCCCTTTGCTTTTCAGTCTTTCTATTAGCAGCTTTAAAATAGCGATTCTGCAAAACCTGTTTAAAACTTCAAAGTACATGTTTTCCCATTTATATATTTTTCTCAAAAAAAATGTTATTATCAGAAAGCATCTATTATAACTTGTTGCTTTTCAGAAAGCAGATATTTTCCAGAAGCAAAATTTATTCTTATCCATCACTGCACAAGAAGCAAAATGGAGACGTATCCTCGATTTTGAAATGGTTACTAAGCTAAGCGCATTTAGGATTTATGTGTACCACCATTTACAACCCTATTGCAGGTCAAAGTCATAGCATCTAGACACCCTGAAAATTTTTAAGCCAGCAACCCACCATATATGCAACACTTTCGAGAACTGAAGACTAAATCATGATGCCATTACACTGTCAATATTGGTACACGCATTTTCCAGTTGAATTGCTTTTGAATTTGCTTAGTTTCATTTCTATGTCTGACCTTAAAATGTCCGAAGTTCATTAGGAAACAAGCTACATTTTGCCATCTACATCTTAAAACAGTCAATTAAACGATAATTTCATTAATTCTCTACCTAATAATACTCTCAAAAGTATACAAGTAAACTCCTTATTCTGAAGCTTCTTTTTTTCACGTAAATGTTATCATAGAGAGAAAAAAAAAAGTTGTAAACAGAAAAAAGAAACCTTCAATCTATTTTCAGTTCGGAGGAATAAGTAGAAGATTACTGTGAAGAATCAATAGTGATAACATCAATATATGATGCATAACCAAGTATTCCAGCAAGTGTAATCAACACAGCTATTAACTGATGATCAAGTTTTGATTTTTTCCAGCAAAAGGCGAGAAATAACATACATCCGCGCCGGAAAATCTGGCGTGTCGGAGCTGAGTAATAGACCACGGCGAAGCGAGGAGAGCTCCTGCTCCAGTGTGAACTTTGTAGGAGGAATGAGATTGAGTGGTCCAAAACATAGAGGCGAGAGTTCTTGCGATTAACCAAGCATGGCCAGCGTGTTTTAATGGATTTCTAGAAACAGCAGCAGCAGAAGTCGCCGATGCCGTTCCCCCCGCCGCCGCCCCAGAATACAGAGCTCGGCCGACTCTGCTGCTCACTACTCCGCGCATTTTTTCACCTCTTCCTTTTTGTTTCTTTTTTTTTTTTTTATCCTGCCCTACCTTTCTTTTTCTTGTTTAAATAGGTTGTGGAAATGTAGAATTTCTCATTTTCATCATACGATGGGCTGGCAAGTTTCTCGGTGGGGCTACAAAATATATTTCTCAATTTCTGAATTTTTTCGTATTTTTCATCTCCTTTTTCATATCCCGGAAAAAAAAATTATGGTTCCATTTGAATTACGATTTTTTAAAATATTTTTTTAAAAAAATACTATAAGTGTTATAATTTGATATACATAAGATGACAATATAATTAAAAAGTATGATAAAAAATATATAATAATTTTTCTTTAGAAAACTTCAAGCTAAACTTCAATTTAATTTTTGTTTTTGCAATAAACAACAAAAAATTGCACCGTTCCCAAGATATTTCATATATTGCAATTAATAATGGTATACTACTATTGTTTTGTAAATTTTTCAATAGAGTGAATTGGTGAATACGTTCTATATATTAAAAGTTTATTTCTTTTCCCATTCCTTTCTTTGAATCAATTAGTGATTTTTTTGAAAAAAAAAATTTGTGACTAAAAATCCCAAGCACCAAAGCCAAGGAAGTAGCATTCTTTCCATTTTCCAACATATTAAAATGGAAGTAGCATTCCTTCCATTTTCATATTAGTGTTTTTTTCTTTGGGTTCTTGAATCTTATCTTTTCTTTATTTAGAAAAAAATTAAAAAAGAAAATATGAAAGCAAATATTTATTTAGTAATTGATATTTTTTTAAAAATTATTTGTACTAAATTTAAAACAACTGAGCTGTTCTTTTATAAATATAAAAATTTTTAAGGGATAATTTCAGAAACCTCCCTTGAGGTTTCTGACATTTACACTCACCTCCCCTGTGGTTTGAACAATTATACTAACCTCCCCTGAGGTTACTAATCCTTTACAAATTCAGTCCAAATGATTAAAATATTGTTTTAGAGAGTGAAATTAGAATTTTGTACCTGATTTGCCCTTTGTGCTACATATCCAATGAATGACAAAGTATTACAAATTAATTAATAATTAATAAACTTTAAGGAGCGTAGTTTATAGGCAAAAACGTATTACTTATTTAAAGTACCAGCTCTTTACGAGTATTTTACTTTCAAACATTTACTTTATTACAAATATTTATTTTCAAATACAGATTTGTATTACTCTCAAATATTTAATTTTTGTTAAATAAAAAACCTACCAGTTTTTTTTCCGTAAAAATATTAATATAACACTTTTTCAATTTTAGTTATAAATATTTATGTATTTAGCATAAATTAAATGATTCAGGATTAAATACTCATAAAGAGCTAATACTTTACTCATGTAATGGATGAAAATCATAAAAAATTAATACTTTATGGGGGCATTTCTTTTTTAAAAAAATATTTAATTTATATTAAATAGATAACCTACTGATTTTCTTTTTGCGAGAATATTACTGTAACACTTTTTAATTTTTAATTACAAACGTTAATATATTTATCATAAATTAAATATTTGAAAATAAAATATCTGTAAAGAGCGGGTACTTTAAATAAATTATGTATATTTGCCTATAAACTATACTCTTTAAAGTAAAGAGTATAGTTTATTGATTTAAGTTAAGGAGTGTAGTTTATTAATTTAAGTAAGTAGTGTAGTTGATAAAATAAATGGTTTCGGAATTAAAGTTTTCTTTCATTTTCACCCATCTTTTTTGAAAATGTTTCAAAGAACAATAATATTTATATGTTTCTTTTCCTTTTGCCTGGCGTCTTTAGAAGGTGCGAGATTCAGGCACAAATATTTCATTTAGATACAAGTACCATAACAGCTACTATACCAATAGTTTACATAATACTACATTGATCTAGTGTGGTCCCCTCTCTCTCTCTCTGAAGTTTCGTCGAAGGCTTACCAAAGATTATTGATTGTGCGGACAGTTAAATAGACCCAACCACTTTTGTGTGCACGCTCGTACTTACACGTATAAACTAATCGTTTTACCAAAAGCATACCCATTTTTGTCTCTTAAGAGGACTAACCCCGCCACATACAAAAGATTCTCTACTAGCTAAATCAATAAACTATACTCCTTACTTTAAAAAGTATAGTTTATAGGCAAATACACATAACCTATTTAAAGTAACGACTCTTTACAGATATTTTATTTTCAAATATTTAATTTATGATAAATATATTAACGTTTGTAATTAAAAATTAAAAAGCGTTACAGTAATATTCTCGCAAAAAGAAAATCAGTAGGTTATCTATTTAACATAAATTAAATATTTTTTTAAAAAAGAAATGACCCATAAAGTATTAATTTTTTATGATTTTCATCCATTACATGAGTAAAGTATTAGCTCTTTATGAGTATTTAATCCTGAATCATTTAATTTATGCTAAATACATAAATATTTATAACTAAAATTGAAAAAGTGTTATATTAATATTTCTACGGAAGAAAAACTGGTAGGTTTTTTATTTAACAAAAATTAAATATTTGAGAGTAATACAAATATGTATTTGAGAATAAATATTTGTAACAAAGTAAATGTTTGAAAGTAAAATACTCGTAAAGAGCTGGTACTTTAAATAAGTAATACGTTTTTGCCTATAAACTACGCTCCTTAAAGTTTATTAATTATTAATTAATTTGTAATACTTTGTCATTCATTGGATACGTAGCACAAAGGGCAAATCAGGTACAAAATTCTAATTTCACTCTCTAAAACAATATTTTAATCATTTGGACTGAATTTGTAAAGGATTAGTAACCTCAGGGGAGGTTAGTGTAATTGTTCAAACCACAGGGGAGGTGAGTGTAAATGTCAGAAACCTCAGGGGAGGTTTCTGAAATTATCCCAATTTTTAATTAGAAACTAAATAGCAATATAAGTTATTTTTTAAAAAAATAAATTGCAACAAATGTGCTTAAATTATTTCATTCTCAGGTCTAAAAGATGTTGATTAATTGCTTAGGTGCAATTTGAATCATATGCTATAATAGTAGTATTATGTTAATAAGATCTTCCTACAAATAAAAATTGCAAGAAGTTTAAATTATGGTTTTTCTTTTTTTCTTTTTAAGTTTTTGTTCAGAAAAAATGTAAATTACTTTACACTAAATTATTTTCTGGCCTTTTGGGGCCAAAATTTAAAAGCAATTTATTTGGTTAAATATATTTGCTTACATCATCATTACAATTTTCAATACACCTTTTTACCTTCTCAATTACCTTTTTATCTCACATACATCTCATCACAAAAAGTGTTACAGTAAAAATATCTCAAATAATTTACAATCCAAACAGAGCCAATGATTTATTAACGGTGCATTCCAAGCTAGCATCAAAGGTTTCCTCGTCCCCAAAAGTCAGGAGCCCCAGGATACCGACTCCGAAACCCCAACCACCCGACCCGAATACCATTTCGTGACAGCAAAGCCCGAGCTGATCATCACTCAGCTAAGATTATCCGAATCTCTTTCTCTGCAAAATCTCCGGTATGCTGGCAGACTTTTTTTTTTTTTTGTTTTTGTTTAAGATGATATTAATACTATTTGTATTGGGGAATAATTATAAGCCCTAAGTCACCCAAATTTTGCAACTTTTTTTTTTTAAATTCGGGTTTTATGATTTGTTTGCTGCTAAATGAAGCTCAAAGCATTAGGGTTTATGGAGTAATTATACTAGGTAGTTATCAATAACTTCAAATTCAGCTACTTCTCTCTTTCTACTCACTACCCTTTGTTTTTTTTCCCTATTTGATTTTTATTACTTAAAAAATTCTTCAAAGCTTGAATTCATATTTGCATCTTCTTAGCTGCAATTCGGATGAAATTGCAAATCTTTGTTGGGTTGGAACTCATCTATTGTTTGATTTGTGCAGTTGCTATTTATTCTATAGAGCTCAGGATCCAGACTGCTGAGCTTGAATTGTTAAATTTATCTGGTCCGTTTGCAGCTGATGTGGACAAATGTATTTAAGATTGTATGTTTCCCACTTTCTTGCCTTCCTTCATTTCATTTTCTTTGTTCGTTATCCTCTGTTCATTTTGGTTGTGTCTATCCCATGTTGTGATTTTCTTTTTTTTTTTTTTCGTGTGCGATAATGAATACGAGGTCTGGATAACATTTTGAGTGCATAAAAATTACTTCTTATTTTCTTGGAGATACAATCTGAAGTAGGAACATCACGAGGCCAGAATAGCCTACAAATTGTTTTGTCAGTATCTTTGTAGACCTAAGGACCCCAAGGATGAAGTTTTCACTCTTCTTTAATTCTATAATAATAGTAGATAATAGTAGAAAACAATGGAGCAGGTGATTGAAGTTATTCTGAATTACGGTTGTCACCAGAAGCATATCTCACCAGGAAAAGGAAGATGAATTAGTATAAGTGTATAGCATGTGTTAGGGTGAAAAGAACTGTCAAGTCTATCCAAAAATTTAAAATTGTTTTTATAAGAAAACTAATGTATGCTATCAATTTTTTTTTCTGTATTTCTTTTTGCTACGACGTTTATTTCATGCATATCGGGATTGTGAATCTATGTTGATTCAAAAGCTATACAACCGAAAAACTATCAGTCAGGCAGAAGTTACTCTTATCTGGGATTTGATTTGGAGCTACTAATTTGCACATTTTTAGTTGAAACTATATCATTTAACCTGTCCATTGCATCAACTTCTCTCTTTTAACCTAAAACACAAGAAAGAGGGCCATAAGCCAGTTTCTACATATCTAATTACTCCTGTGCCATCCAAGAAAAAGAGAAGAGAACAACGGAAAATTGAGGAACCTATGTAAAATTGTAACTTTATGTTATACATAGCTATTTTGACATGCTTCGTCTTTCCATTCTCTTGGAACCACAATATTGTTGTCGCTGCCATCTCAAAGTCCATTATAAGTATCAGAATTGGTGAGCAGTTCAGGGAGTTGATGTTGGAAACAGACTTTTCAATAGGTGCAATGTGGCTTCAAAGAACTCTGTTATTTTGTTCATTCGTAGATGTAAT